GCTGTAGTAGCTCTAAATATTGTTTTTATGTATTCCACTATAACTTACATCTTTGGCTGAGGAGTTAGCAATTTTACCTTGGTCAACGCAGTATCTGATGTTTACACTAGGGAAGAAAGATCTTAACATTTTTTTTTACAGAGATATCACCTTGCCTGAAGGCTTGCTTTTCTTTTCAACAGCCTCATTCATATACAATAACAGTGTAAAACCTACCAACTCAGTATTAAAAAGCTTCACTGCACACAGTGCATAGTTAAACTATGGAACCTGAATGAAAAATGATTTGACATGCACAGCAATGTGCACAACATTGTGACAAGTAAGCTGATGAAGATGACTTTGAATCTGACCTTGAAGGAGATAATGATGACAGTGACTTTTATGACTACTTAAAACATTTGAGAAAACACTATACTTTGATTTGGCTGTTTTGCAAATGCAGGAAAAGCTGAACATACCAGCATAGTAAAATGTGTTGTCTTGAACTCAAGGAATTATTTACACCTCTCTGAAATTTTATTTTACACAAAATTTATTGGATTTGTTAACTAGTTTTTTTTGCCTTCTGCTCACATTGAATTATTATGTATATTTTTGATCTATTAAAAACACAATTGAAGTGATTTCTCTTTTTATTTTGGGGAGCACCATACTATGGCCCTAAGCTATTACAAAATGGTAATTCCTGAGATTTAGGGTTGGAGAACTTTTGTATTGTGCTCCATGGAGAAAACAATACATAGCCAGTCTTTCAATCACAACCTTACATTATTGCAACATAGCCAGATGGAGGGAAAAGCTCCACTCATTTACTAGAATTAGAGTCAACCCAGTGAGTCCAATGCCTGAATTCAGGCCTACTCCTCACGGCTTGCTTCCCCTCCAGCACCATGGACAGCAACAGTGAAATTCACACTCTGGGCCTTGGAGAAGGCTTGGCTTGCACTCCCACCTCTGGGTGTGTGTTCAGTCCTATTAAGGCTTGGCCTACACAGCTTGGCCTGAGGCAAGAGGCTGGGACTGCCCCCACCCTGAAGCCAGGGAATGTGCCACATTTTTCAGATGCTCCTTTGTGACCAAATGCCATGGGAGCAGAAAAAGAATATAACAGGGTCAGCAGCTAGAATTAGAAGAGATTGACAGGAGCCCAATCAAGCCCCAAAGCAGAAACTTAACACATTAGCATACAAAATAGGAACCTGAGGTTGGGAGGGCCCAACCAGGCCTCTCTATTTAGCCCTTCAGATTCTTCTCCTGAGCTTGCCTATGCCTTTCTCTGATATTTTAATGTTTTGTGTTTTTTAAAAAAATGATGCCTTGGTGTATTCACATATGTCTGAATAAGGATCTCCACACTACAGAAATATCCCCCACCCAGACTGAGTTTACCACATGACGTAGATGGACCTGCATCGCACGTAAAGACCTGCATATTTTGAAGTGCTGACTGATGAAGCGGGTATTGTCTTGTATCAGGAATGTTACCTTGCTAGGGATAGGATAAATCACTGATCAATAACAAGTAGCAGCAGTTGCAATTTCGTCCTCCGGTTGGCGATATTGCACTGTGCTGAACTCACCAATGGCTCACCCCCAACTTCTCTGTGTCCCCATATGCAGCAGCGACTTGGCCCGAAGGAGGTCAGGTAAGTGGTGCAGCCCCAATGCACTGCCCACGAGTGCATAGTAGTAGACTAAATCTTGGCAATAAATAAGCAGAAGGTAAAACAACACCACATAAAGGCTCTGGTGTACTCCATCAATAAGTGAAATCTAAAAGACAAGTAATTTCTCCTGCGTGGTTTACAAATTTTGCTATAGTCCATTTAGCGTCCTTTCAGGCACATGTCCAAGCACTATACAAAACAGTCAGTTTGATCTCTCTTGGGCCCTAATTGCACACACATGTGAAAGATATAACACAAACCACATGTTCTAGTTTTTCAGATATTTTTTAAACAATGAACAGTGCAATCCTAAAGCATTCTTGATGATAGGAAACTGAGGCAGTTGAACTGCTTGATCCAACCCCAAAGCTGGGTTTTTATGGTCAGGGCAGAATTATAGAGAAATCACCTGCACTCTTCTGTCCTTGTCTTGCTTTATTTTTAGAAGGAAATTCATTATGCCAGCTCCAGGACTGGCACAGTTTTCTTCCTTATTTGGGATGTGTGTCAGGAGACTGGGAAGACTATGCCCACCCCCACCCCCTTTGGCCCTACCAACTTTGGAGCTCTGATATTAGACAGGCAAGACATCCCAGTCTATTGCAAATCCTCTCAGCCAGAAACTAGGATTTCCTGGAGGTGTTTCTGTGGTCATTATTCCCAAATCCAAGCCCAGGATTTTCTGGGGTTAGACCTTCTATCTCCAACATCACTTAGGGATGATGGATACCCTAGAGAAGTACAAAGTTGAGAATGCGTGACTCAAGTCACATGAAAAAGGTTGAAGCTGGATATGTTTAGCTTGCAGAAGAAGTGATTAAGAGGTAATATTATAATTTTGTTTTTTGTTTTACATTATACCTTGTTTTCTTACCTTGTTGCACACACTCACACTCTAGTATTCATACAATGCCTGAACAGTTTCCAACACACCACCCTGGAATCTTCAGATGAAGAACACTTAAGAAGCATTATAAATGCAAATCAGCATTTAACGGGCTGCCCCAGAGAAGAAGGAGCAAATTTGTTTATTTTTGCTCCAGATAGCAGGACTGGAACCAATGGGTTCATGCAAACCATAAACCCAAGCATTAGGAAGAACTTCCTAATGGTACAAGCTGTTTGACAGTGGAAAAAGAATGTTCAGAAGGTGGTGTATTCTCCATTAGAGGTTTCTAAGCAGAAGCTTGATGGCTACCTATCAGGAATGCTGTACCATCTCTGAGTGTGATGGCATGCCATCTCAATCCCAGGGGGAGATTGCAGACCCATCTTTAAACTGTGTAACAGGAGCTGTGGAAGATAGCTTCTCCAGGCACCTAGCACCCATAACAAAAGAATAAAGGTGTGAGAGAGGCTGTCCTCAGATTACATTGCAAGTACACTTTTTGTAAAAAGAAATACTAAATTCATTACATTTGGGGGGATTTTTCACACAGAATTGGGACACAATGGAAGTATCAGTGAACACATAACAAAAGTAGGTTTCTGTATTTAAAATATCTTTAAATCTAGCAGGGCCAGGCTAATTTGCAGCCATTTCTTAGAGTGAAATTAATTCTTCACTCTGGTTTAAAGTACCATGTACACTGGCAGGAAATCACATAATGACTTGGTGCCAACAATGCAAGGGACTTTGCCTCAGGTCTTTGGGAAGGTGAATTAATTGGCTGTCACTCAGGAGAAATGGATTTATTAGAGGGAAGAAAACTGTTCACAAATCAGCAAAGAGGCATTCTGAAATTGGGGTGTTTGCTACCAATTATTACTGCCTGAATCATGAAGGAAATATTTATAACTGCTGCACCTGTTCCACACTTTTAAGAAAGCAAGAATGTGCACATTGAGCCAGAACAAAACACAAAAGAAAGAAAATAAATAAATAAATTATTGGTAAATAAACAGGAAAAAAATGTTATGAGATGTGAAGAAAAATGCAACTACAACAAACAGTATACTTCTTATCATGCAAATTGTCTTGTTTTATTTATTTTTTTCACCATAAACAAAGGATACTTTTCACCCAGAAGATAATCCAGGCATAATTTGTAATGCTGCAAAAATAATGAATTCAGGATGGAGGATCACAGGTTCTTCTTGTTAGGCTGGCATTTTAAAATTAGACTAAAAGCCATAGGGATAAATATGCTCAGCAGCTTGTTCTTGCTTTATGATTTTAATTATTTTTTATGTTTAGCTTTTTTTTTATTACTTTGGCAATATTCCCGTGAAGGCAGAGATGGAAATGGGTTGGTGATGTCCAGCTCCCGCTGGTTCCAGTTCAGAAGACTCACTATACTCATTAGAGATGCAAAGTGTGGGATGATCTTTCCGGAACCAGTTGCCAGAGGAAAGCACTGCAAAGGGTTCAAGATGAGGAAAAGTTACCCAGACTGCTTTTCACTTTCAGTTCAGGCATAGTGGATGCACATTTTGGATAAGGAACGGGCTACCTTCCATATATATTCATCACATTACAATATGCCGCCATTTCAACCAACTAAAGAAAGTGTAGACAGGTGTAATATGATAGATAAGAGAGGTCAGACCCTCCCAGTGTCCCTATTTTTCAGGGATCTCCTGGTTTCTGATTTGGTCCTGGAATGTCCCACTTTTCCTTAGGACATCCCTATTTTCATCAGAGAAATGTTGAAGTGTATGTTAGGATGTCCCAATTTTAATCGGAGAAATGTTGAAATGGTTTGGAGTTATGCAACCCCCGAGCCAAGGAGCTAAGTAACTATACAACCTTTACAAGACATCTGAGGGCAACCCTGTATCGGGAAGTATGTTAAAGATTAATGTTTAATGTTTAATTATTTTTTCATATATTTTGGAAGGTGCCCAGAGGGGCTGGGGCAACCCAGTTAGATGGATGGAGGTTAAAAAATAAATTTATTATTGTGAAATAGGACATCCCTATTTTCATCAGAGAAATGTTGGAGGGCATGAGAGATAGGAATGCGCTCATCTATTCCCCTGGGCACTCCAGCAGGCCTTCATACAAAGGGGAGGATGGGAGGCCATTTCCCCATCCCTTGCTAGAGGAAGTGTGGGTTTAAATACCTAACTTGTGCATGTTGCCCCTGCTATCCAGGTTGCATTCTTCAGGTTGTACATTCCAGACTCCAAGTCCACCCACCAAGGTCTTGCCAAGCCAGTGGGAGGTGTTTGGAAAGTGCTCTTCACCCCAGGACACTTACACCTCACTTTCTTAAGCTCTACTCACCTGCTCACACTGAAGGCAAAGGAAAAGAAAGTCATAGAATCATAGAGTTGGAAGGGACCATGAGGGTTATCTAGTACAACCTTCTGCAATGCAGGAATATTTTCCCCCCAATACGGGGCTTGAACCCACAACTCTGAGACTCTTAAGAGTCTCGTGCTCTACCAACTGAGCTATCCCAGAAGAGCACACCCAAAACAGCCAATTAGAAATCAGGGCAGTGTGGAGTAGGCCAAAAAAAGAAGAAGGGGGGAATCTAACAGGCCAATCAATAACCCAGACCTCCCACAATTCTACTCAGCCCTCCCAAGAGTGACTAGCAATGCCCACACTGCCAACTGTGCGAGAATAGGAGCTGCAAGGACAAAGGAGGCAGAGGAGTGGGCAGCATCAGCTTCAATATTTTTATTTATTTATTAAATTAGCATACCGCCTTTCAGCCGAAGACCACAGGGTGGTTTGCAATATAAGAACACAAAAATACATACCATAATAACAAACAGAAACACTAAGGCACACTCACACAGTATGGTAAGCCACATGAGCAGGGTATAAGAAATAAAATTATTATTATTACTCACCCATCAGGCCTTCTGTGAATGGACTGCCTTGGCCTCAGACAAGCTCTGTATGGGCCTGGAAGGCCACATTTGTTTCACAGGCCTGAGGTTCCCCACCCCTGCTCTGAAAAGGTCCATAAAGTCATACCCACAGAGAGGCTAACTCATAATTTAAGACACAATACATAATGTAGGATGGGTTTCATTGATATGCCAGTGAGGCTTCAACTGAAGGAGTCCAGTTTCCAGCTTCTGCTGCTTTCTATTTTAGGTAACTGATTTGAGAATCGTTGGGTAAAAAGGGAGTTAACTGGGGAATAAGCTATATAGGGCAAGAATAATGGCACAAAAGCATGAAAATAGTCATTGTAAGCAGATTTTCACTAGATAAAGGATACTTTCATCTTCCATTCCATTTACATGAGGGCTTAGAAAAGTGCAATAAAGTTATGGAAGAAAGCTATTCCCTGTGCATTTTCTTAAGAGCAAATTGGCTCCTTTGAATGTTATCCTTGCTGCCCATAGGAGGATGCTTAGACCCCTATTACAGAGCAGAACAAGGCTGTGCAAGAAACCAGCTTCAGAACATAGGAGCCAACCCTAAAAGCATTTGAATGCATGACTCATTTCACACAAATGAGCCCTTCCGACCAAAACTGGGATTATTGTATAGGAGAAAGCCTTGGATCTTTCTACAGGGATTTGGTATAAAAAGCCCGCTGCCACATCACATAAGAAGTAAAGAAAATAGTGTCCTCCACTGTCATGAAATGGTTTTTGAGGAACATGAAGCTGACTGGATGGGCAGTTGATTCTCACTTCAAAACGGTCTTCCTCCACTGCACCTGAGGATACCAAGTGAATTTAAGGGGTGCAATGCAAGCTGGGTGGGGCACATAGTCCTAGTCTCCAACATAAATTAAGAGTCCGGGCATCCAGAAGGAATGGAGAGGGTGACTGCCACCACTGTGTGCCTCAGCAACAGCTGCCTGAGGCGATTGCCTCACTCTGCCAAGTTGTTGGGCAGTAGGTTTTGGGCCTGGAAACGTGACCGGACGTAATTTATTCACAGACCTGAATGCTGTGAAAGACATCCCGTTTCATGCGCAGGTATCCGATCTGTGTGAACAGGTACATACGAATGATTTGATAGATGTAAACACTTGATATCATTTTACAATATCTCTTGTACAACTTAGTGTCTTCCGTGGTGGAGTATAATTGCATATGCAAACTAGTTCTGCAGCTACCTTAAGGGCATAGTTGCTGCTACTGATATCCATCCGTATGGGTTTCACTGGACATTTCTGAAATGAACCAAACATAACAAGTTTGAGCAATCAATCATCTGAGTTGTGCAACTAGAAATAGAGCGATTAGTTATTCATAGAACCACACAGTTAATCTGGAAGATATCTAAAAGGTTAGCTGGTCTAGCCATTGCTCTCAAGCTTCACTCATCTTGAAATATTCTCTGTGAGATATTTATTCAGCTTCTTCCTGAGAACCTCTGGGGAAGGGGATTATCCACCTTTTCTAGGCACACATTTTTCAAACATTAACCTACCCTTTGAAAAGGAAAATCCCTTTTCTCTTGTCTTGTCTCCTCTTGTTGCCCAAGTGCGGCAAATTCATCATCGTCAAGTCAGTTATTGATAGCAATATCTGGCCAGCTTTTGATTTCCAAGTTCCCCCAAACAATAAAAGATGACAGCAAATCTGTGATGGAGCTTAGCGTGGTAAGACTGTGTTCCCACGTTGGGGTGATCATTGTCTCTGTGTAAAAGTGGGAATGATTCGTGAGTACTAATGACAGCAATTCCACATAGTCAAGCTCCCCAACGACAGCAAGAGCAATTATCATGCAAATAATCTGCTGCACATGCCCCCTAAAGGCCAGTGATGTAGTGAAACTTTAGTAGCCAGAGATAAAGGCTTCCTAATGACAAAAGACTGTCTGCTTGCCTCTGCGACTCCAGTATCTTCCTGTAAGAAGCATATGTCTCAGGAACTACATTGGTGTATTGGGATCAGAAGAGGGAAATATATTGTAGCAGGTGGAGTTTATTTGAGAAAACCTGCGTTACCGCAAGACATTTATTTTTAACAACAACAAAAAACATACTATAAAATATTAAGCTTTCATCAAATGTGCCACATGTAATGTTCCTGATGAAAGTACCAGTGGCGGTGGGGGGGGGAGCATAATTTAATAGGAAACGTCACTCCAATGCAAACTAATATCCATGCAATTACAAAGTAGGTCGTAGAAGTTGCTGTTATATTTGGCTCAACTCAGACAGGGGTTAGTGTCCCTTCCAGCAACGTCATTGACCATTATGGATTAAGGATTGGAGTGGGAGCTGGTGGCTTATGGGGAGACTTCATGCCCCGGTGGTTCTCTAGCATTAGATTGTAAATGATTTCTATGCCTTTTCTTTGACATTTATAATAATAATTATGCCTTCTAATGGTCGCAGAACGTCCAGCTGCTGTAGGAAAGCAATAAAAAAAAATCATTTATGAACAAAGGAAGTGAAACAGCTGAAGTCAAATGGAAAGATATTTCAGGCCATTAGTTAGCCATTAAGCTTTGGGAATGAAACGAAAAGTGGGAGAGGTGAAGGCTGTCTTCAGATCATGGAACAGGGGACCAAACTGTACAGTACAAAGCAGAGTTGGTTGCCATGCAGAAATTTCAAATTAAGAAGGCCGGTTCTAGAGCCATTATAATACTATGTAAAAAGAAATAAAGGGCAACCCCCCTTCCATTATATTCTGTAAACTGCAGGATGGGACACGGAAGGGCCAGAGCTTAGGGGAAGAGCATCTGTTCTGCGTGCAGAGGGTCCCAGTTCCAATCCTTGGTATCCCCTGACAGAAACCCTAGAGAGCATAAGCCAGTCAGTGTGGACTGTACTGAGGCACATGGACCAGTATGGGTGCGCAGGTGGCGCTGTGGTCTAAACCACTGAGCCTCTTGGGCTTGCCAATCAGAAGGTTGGCGGTTCGAATCCCCACAACAGAATGAGCTTCCGTTGCTCTGTCCCAGCTCCTGCCAACCTAGCAGTATAAAAGCACGCCAGTGCAAGTAGATAAATAGGTAAATAGTACAGGGGCAAAAATGTGGCGGGAAGGTAAAGGGTCTTTCCGTGTGCTCTGATTTCTGTTATGGTGTCCCGTTGTGCGGTTTGGTCATGATGGCCACATGACCCGGAAAGCTGTCTGTGGACAAATGCCAGCTCCCTTAGCCTGATAGCGAGATGAGCGCTGGAACCCCATAGTCACCTTTGACTGGACTTTAGTTATGGCATCTTAAAAGGGTGTCCAAATGCATAAACAACTTTTCAAGAGTCTTTGGGATTGTTAATTCCAATTCCTTAGACCTTTTACCCAACCCCACCATTCTTCCTTCTACACTGCCATCATAGCAAGGAAGCATGATGGATACATTCATTAGCAGTGCTAGCAGAATGCTGAATTCCTCACATATGATACTTGTACAGCCATAAATCCATAGGCAACCAATTGTTTCAAGCCAGGGTCTCTTGTGACCACACTGGAGGACTGGAGCTGGGGAACACAAACCCAAAGGACCAATCATTTTGAAACAAAAAAATGTGTAAGAAATAATAACATAGAAGTAAATCACGATGAGAAATCTGAAACAGTGAGTAACAAGAAGATTAACACAGCAGCCGCAAAAAATAAATTTAAGATGAAAGGAGCAATAACACAGTGGCTGCTTGGGAAGAAAGGGATCATCGAATGTAATAAACATCAATGTAACAGGGCAAGATGAAATGGCACAATTTCCTCACTCCGGCGAAGATTCTGCACAAGAAAGTTGTTAATCACAACTGGACACCTTCCCTGCTGTTATATGGAATTGCTCTAAACACTTTCTCGTTAAAATGGTGTTCTGCTGGGAAATTTATGACCTTTTGCCAACTGGGCTCTGCAGCTCCAGTGTTTCCCAATCAAGACACAATTGTAGAAGTTTTACTTAGGCAGAATTTCTGTTGAGGATGATAAAAAAGTTCTACCAGAGTACAAGCAGTACCTTGGGAAAACAGGGTATCTATGTTTGATCGGTTTAAAGGGGCTCATCTGCAAGGCAAAACTTCCATCTAATGGTTTTGTACTTTGGAACAGTAAAGTAGAAAGGCCTCAACCCAACACATCTGGCAACAGGAATCTTACTCTCTGTCCTACTGTGGAGGAGTGAGCCATCAGCCTATTCCAGGCTACACTGCAAGTACCATGTCATTGCAGGGTCCGTTGGGGCTCTATGTGTTTCTTTAAAGCTTCTGGTTCTGGTATGGTTCTTTAATGTTGTCACTGGGCAACAGGTGGACCTGCTGTAAGAATCTAGTCTGGTACTAACCAGAACCAGGAAGTCTAGCTGGGACAACAGGCCAGCCCAAAATTTCCTGTTTTGGCTAGTCATCTAATTACCGTATTTTTCTCTCTATAACACTCACATTTTTTCTCCTAAAAAGTAAGTGGAAATGTCTGTGCGTGTTATTGGGTGAATGTGTGGTCCCTGGAGCCGACTGGCCAGAGTACAGGGGCAAAAATCAGGCAAAAATCAGATCGTGCGGAGGAGGGAAGGCTAAAGAGAGG